ACAATTAACATATTTAAACAGTTTTTAACAAATTAATATATTTAAATAGTTTTAACAAATATACGACAAAAGCACAGACATTATTATCTTTTCTATCACCGTCATGTTGCTCTTATGTTGTCGAAAATGAATGACAAAGCAAAATGTTTTCCATGAATAGAAGTAATTTTGTTGCCAACAAAATGAGCAACAATTGCTCTCCGTTTGCTCTGAATCTGCTGACACGAAATGTTTCAAATCTGCCCTCGTGTTGTTGAATACGTATGACTATGCATTACGTTTTTAGCAAATATACAGCAACTAGTCGAAAATTCATGCTAAGCATTAAGTTGCATGATTTTGCAAAACATGCTTGGCTATCAGGGTGTACATATTGATGACGTTCAGAATGTATAGCAGAAAATAGATCAAGATTCAACTTCTGTCAATTTCATTTCCGTTCCACTTCCGATCAGCACGTGCATTATGGTAATAGTTATGCAGTTAGTCTTGATTAGTCTGTACAATTCAAGCCGTAATTATAATTAATACAAAGATTCAATTAATCCAAAGATAAGTTTAGATTTTAAGAGTTTTTTTTAGTAAAAATGGTTGCTAAAAATAATAGATTCTTTAACCTAACCCTAACATAACCTTAAAAGTACTTTCTTATAACAAATAATTTCTCGTTTTAGAAAGCCGAGCAAGACTTCTGGCTTTTCGAGTTTATCTTCGAAAATTTTTTCAAAATAATATTGTATGAAACGTAGTAAAGCGACTTTTTATAGAAACATTAAAAGAGGAACCACAGCATGCTTAGAATTATATATTTTATTGTAAAAATGTGTGCAATTTTACAGATGTAATTATTTTGTTAAACATATCAATTTTTATTTTTAAAACATATTATTGGAATTAAAATTAAAACAATAAAAACTTTTGTTTAACATTTAATATTGGTAAAGTTGATTAAACCTTTTTTTATATCAATGTAATTGCATAAATGTTTAGAATACTAAAAATAATTTAGTAGAATATTCAGTGAATGTTCTTTACATGGTATTAAACATCTTCTCTGAATATTCCTGAAATATAATAAAGAATATTTTTTCAACCTATCTGGAATATTAAAATTGGTCTTATTTGAACGTTCTATAAAGATTTAAAGAACATCTTTTAGTACATTAAATTCTATATATATTCTATATTTAGAATATTCTAATATTTTCAACAAATATTTATAGAATGTTTATAGAATGTATTTGTGTTATTTGGGTATATTTTGAAATTAATTAAAATAATATATTTGCAGTTAAAATTCAGTCTTTTTGAAGGCGCTGTAAGAGGTGTGGCATGTGTCTATTCACCTTTGATCGATTATCCATCGAGAATTTCAATGCAATTAATGCACATTACTGATTGGCTACCGACATTATACTCCGCAGCTGGTGGTAATACAAATGATTTGCCACAGCTCGACGGCGTTAATCAATGGTCTATGATCAAGAGAAAGAAAGATGGCAAGCGGAAGTCGGTTCTTATAAATATTGATGAGCACAAAAATAGCGAGGCAGCGTTAATAAAATATTATAAGCTGGTTAGAGGTATGTAATAAATAATGTATATATTTTATAGTTAAAAATATGAATTATATCAACAATATTATTTATTACAACATCTCTGTCAAATTTATATTTAACCAGTTCAGTGGTAGACTTTTCCGAAAGATTTGTGCCAAAAGTGGTAAGAGGCAAAAGTTAAAATATTGAAAAACGGTGAAACATGGGTTCAAAGTTTTCGAAAAAGCAACTTTTCGGAATGGGTGTGGATTTCCTCCCCCCCTCCCCCACGCCCTGGAAGGCGGGGGGGATAAAATAGAGATAGAAAATGTTAAATGGCACTATGGATCGAGTGGAAATTCATTTGAAAGGGCGTTTCAAGACGAGAACAATGATTTTTGAAAATGTTTACTACGACTTTCCAGTCAAAAGTGGAGGTAAATCAAAAAAGGGGGGTGGATTTCCGAAAAGCTATCACCTCCAATTTGGCTTATATTCAGCCTAAATACTTATTTTATCTAGTAAATAATATTTCCAAATGGATTTTTGGCGCAAATGTCCCCCTCCGTCCCCTAGCCCCCCTCAAAGGTAAAACTGTTTTTGTTAATTATTTCAGAAAGTGTTTATTGTACGGAAAAAGTTGTCAAACAAAAAATGAAGCTCATAAAAAATTCTACAAATAAGGTTTTATACATATTTTACCTAATTCCAATATTTTAGTCGTTTTGACAATTAACAGTCGCCATATTGGATCCGTCATTTTAAATTTTGCAATTTTGACATCAGATTCGAATTCAGCAGCCCAAAAAACCTTAGGATATCAAGTTTTATGCAAATCTGTTGACAATTATTGGAGTTATTTAAAAATGTACATATATGATACATTACCACGTTTGGCACTTTTTTTGTACAGGGTGCTTCC